CTACAATGTATTAGGTTAGGTTGACTACAGAAAGTGAATCCTACATTTAACACTAGGATGAGCATAAGTACACCAGAGAATATCAATTTACAAATCTGATGCCATTGCAATACTTCTTTGGTTTTATCAGTATCTTAAGAAAAGTACACCTCTGACTCTATTAGATCACAATAATCAAGTCTTCTATTTAATAGTGACAAAAACCGAACATGGGGAAGCCTGCTGTTAACTTGCTGTACGATAAACTCCCAGCATGCAGTGCACTAAACTCCCAGCATGCACTAGGGTAAACATACGATTGACCATTATGTAGTGAACTGCGCATGTGCAGTATTTTGTGTCTGTGTGACATGCTCCGTGTTTTTAGTGGAGATCTGTATTACTGTGAACGGGATTCTAATAAAGATGAAACCGTTATCGATGAGTTCGTACTTTATCGATGAGTCTGTACTTTATCGATGAGTTCGTACTTTATCACCTGCCCTTTTAACCTTTTAATCTACATGTCGTCATTTAAACATTCCAACATCTTGAAAAAAAGTGTGAGATAAATACTGAATGGATGTTCGGATAGCTTGCAATGAGCAAATCAAATGAAAATCTAAAATCATATTATAATCAAATCAAGCAGTTAACATTTATTCTGATAGAAACTTCCGTCCGAGAAAGACATCAAATAGTTGAAATTCTTGTAAAACAATTATATATATAAAGCAGGTTCAAACTAAATTGAAGATTGTATGTTATGTCTTGTTTACTTTCATTATTATTGGCTCATACCATGAAGCCAATGAAAATGCAAGATTACATCTTCATATCTCAAAACATTTGCACGGTGAAACACAAAGATTAGGCATTATTTCCAAGATGGCGAACAATTTTTGAAAAAGAAGTTCATAACACGAAAGTTCCATAAATTTTAATCGTTTTGCTCAGTTCTTGGCTTTCTACACCAAGCGGTTGGTTTCGGAAGAAGATGCTTGATAATGAGGTTATTATTATATACAAATATATGAGGCTACTGCAAAGTATGCCGTCAGACGAACTCTGTGTGTCTCTTGCTGCACTATTTTTCTCACATACATGTACTTTTACTGCATCCTCACAATAACCTCATATATGCTTGAATTGTGACTTTTTACATAAAACGAGACAATCCTACATGTGATCTTTTAATTGCTGATCTCAGAAATTGATACATCGGTATTGGATTATCCAATTACCCATCATGCAACTGAAATTACACATTTTATGGGGCTATAAATTGCTTTTAAGATACAAAATACTCAATTTGATTGCAACCTGGTATTATGGAATACCGGTAGTTATTGTTGTTGGCATGGAAACTTGATGAAAGCAATTGAGTAGGATGTATGTATTGATAACTTTCATGTATACATCAAAATGTACAATTAAATGGGAAATTACATGTATAAACTATTGTTGCAAGACAGGTTCCAGTTTTCTTTCCATTCAAAAATCACCAATGACACTGATTCCTTGGTAAAATTCGTTTTTAGAACCAGTGACAATTGGTTGCTACATCTTTCGACTCCAATTCCAAGCATCACTGACTTCATTAATTTTTTGTCAGGATCAAGCAACTTCATAAAAATTATAGCACTATATTGTGAATGATAATTAACATAATACACGAGTCTGAAATCTCATGAAAAATGATCAAAATTATCATTTTTATACTGATTTTCACGGTGGGATTATTCCTTCATGTCTGATAATGTTGATCGTTGACATAAAATGAAATTTAAAAACCATTGCTTATTGAACTCTTTTACATTGTTATTGTCAAATTAGAGAAATCGCTTGAAAATGTGACAGCATTACCGGTAATTCTTACCAGTGTACTCAAGGTGGTTCAGACTGATTTCAAAAATACATATGTCATGCTCATCATACTTTCATTCATTTGTTTCCATGCCATCAGGATACCATAAAAGAAAAAAACTATCTTTCGAGATACACGAGTCTGAAATCTCATGAAAATGGTCAAAATTGTCATTTTTATACTGGTTTCCAGGGTGGGATTATTCCTTCATGTCTGAAAATTGTTATCGTTGACATGAAACGAAAAAGCTGTATATAAGACTATAGGATGTATAAACTCTAACTTATAAATTGATATATAATTTCCATTATGATTACAGTTCTTTCCCATAATGCACTGCAAACATGTATACACATAGACTATACTGTGCAGAAACAGTACATGTAGTGCCAGATTTGAATTTGACTCAAATAGCCTTGGTAGAAATCCCTGAACATGTCTGAGCTGGCTTATAACTATTAATGTATGCAAACAACATACCTCAGCTGTAAGTGACAGCTGAATCAGTACAAATTCTTCAAACAATTTACCCAGTGTACTATATGCTAATAATATACATGTATCTGTGTTTGTAAAAATAACAGTAAATTCAGTAACTCCCATTATACTAATATCATCTTTATTACATAAATAGAAATAACAAATTTTCATTTATTTTTCCCGCAATATGTCGATACATGTACACTGTACATTTAAATGAATAGAACAGTTAAAGTAAAGAATGTCCACATGAATTCACATGATTCACATGGAGCCCGGGAACTATAGTATCATAAATTATAATAATATCATCTTCATATCATATTTATTGAGTATAAAATATTTGTATATATAAGTACCAGTCAATATCCCCCATATAAGCTAGAAGTAAATTTTATTAAACATGTAGTTCCTGGGATCCCTGTGATTAATCAAGAGAAAGGTTATTTTGTAAAATGGTAAGAATTGTGAATAAAATCACCCATAAGCTTACTTGTACGTTTGTCATTACTTTTCATATGACTTTAACATAAAATTACATATTAATTAGAATAACTCCGAAGCATGAAGAGTCACTGACATGTAGCTAGGGGGTCAAACCTGATGCCATTACCAGTGACATATACATGTAACTAGGGGATTTCATGATCAATCCTAACCTGTGTGCCTAGGGGGTCACATGAGATACCACAACCAGTCGCATGTGCCTAGGGGGTCAAACCTGATGCCATAACCAGTGACATATACATGTAGCTAGGGGATTTCATGATCAATCCTAACCTGTGTGCCTAGGGGGTCACATGAGATACCACAACCAGTCGCATGTGCCTAGGGGGTCACATGAGATACCACAACCAGTCGCATGTACCTAGGGGGTCACATAAGATACCACAACCAGTCATATGTGCCTAGGGGGTCACAAGAGATACCCGACCATTCACATGTGCCTAGAGGGTCACAAGAGATACCACAACCAGTCGCATGTGGCTAGGGGATCATAAAAGATACTCCAACCAATCACATGTGCCTATGGGGGTCACAAGAGATACCCGTCCGTTCACATGTGGCTAGGGGATCATAAAAGATACTCCAACCAATCACATGTGCCTATGGGGGTCACAAGAGATACCCGTCCATTCACATGTGGCTAGGGGATCATAAAAGATACTCCAACCAATCACATGTGCCTATGGGGGTCACAAGAGATACCCGTCCATTCACATGTGGCTAGGGGATCATAGAAGATACCCCAACCGATCACATGTGCCTAGGGGGTCACAAGAGATACCTGACCATTCACATGTGGCTAGGGGATCATAAAAGATACCCCAACCGATCACATGTGCCTATGGGGGTCACGAGAGATACCACAACCAGTCGCATGTGGCTAGGGGATCATAAAAGATACTCCAACCAATCACATGTGCCTAGGGGGTCAAACCTGATGCCATAACCAGTGACATATACATGTAGCTAGGGGATTTCATGATTAATCCTAACCTGTGTGCCTAGGGGGTCACATGAGATACCACAACCAGTCGCATGTGCCTAGGGGGTCACATGAGATACCACAACCAGTCGCATGTACCTAGGGGGTCACATAAGATACCATAACCAGTCATATGTGCCTAGGGGGTCACAAGAGATACCCGACCATTCACAT